TGTATTAATCTGCACTAATCATAAGATGGAATAAAGTTAATGTTTTGTAGGTTTAAAGTTGTTTTCACAAATACTGTTATAAGAGCCATTCGAGGCCAAAAAGGAGAAAAGCAGAAGCAATGAATGGAGCCATTCGGGGCCAGAGGGGAGAGAAGCAGAGGAGCGAGTGTGTGTATCTGTTGTAGCTGGCGCCAATGGTAGTGAGATCTACAGGACAACGCAGGGTGGAGGCCTCTTAGTGATAAGAAAAGCGCCCGCAATAAAAATGAAATATTTGACATCCCAAGGTAGTCCAGATCAGCAAAAATCTGACCATACAAAGGAGTTGTTATTTTCAGAGCACATGGAGCAGTAATGATCCCACAAAGGGTGATGAGACGAAGGGGGAGCAGTATGGTCGTCTGACGTGACCTGAAGCAAGAGCTGACATGTTTTTGACTAAACCGTCATAAGTTTCTGATTTGAATGCACCAGATGTTTTCATGGCCTGAGAGAGTGCTCTCACAAGAATGAGATGTGTATATGAATGTCACCGTGTTTTGCAGATAAATATCAATGTGACCTTTACCAATGACTGAAATATGTTCTGAAGGGGGTTTTTCCACCGATAAAGAAATGTATAAAAGGGAGCTGGTTTCACCATTTGTCAGCTTCGGCTCACCAGCTCTGTGTAAATATGTAGTGTTTAGCAATAAACTCACTGGACCTGGACTCAGCGGCCATCTGTCTAAATTTTTTGATCTTTGTTTGAGACTTTTTCTGCTTTTTAAGAACTTTGAATTTTTATAAAACTTAGCTTCAATTTTAAGTCGTCAAGAAGAGAATTATAGGACGACAATCCCAGGCTGTTCTCTACATCCAGTCTGTTCCTCTGCTTGGTTGGGTGTCAAAGCTGAAGGTGAAGTCAAACATATAATAAAAGCTTACTTTTTGGTTGATAAAAGCTTGTTAAATTTTTCAGTTGGGTCCTAAATCAGTCATGTCAGTCAGTCATGTAACCAGGCCAGGGTGGACTGACTCCTGGCCTGAAAAAATCTCCCAGTCTGGCCCTGATATATATATATATATATATATATATATATATATATATATATATATATATATATATATATATATATATATATATATATATATATATATATATATATATATAGATAGATAGATAGATAGATAGATAGATAGATAGATAGATAGATAGATAGATAGATAGATATATAGATATTCACACACAGTACTTGAGTTGATGTGGGCATGAAAATCACCCCCCTTCTTAAATGACCATCCCCCCATACCGTCCCTTGTGAAATTTTTTCACTGAATGTGTAAATTTCTATTATATAGTAACAGTGATGGCAGTAATATTGCCCTTTCAACTTTTGGCAGGTTCTGAACACCGTAATGGCAGAGCGGCAAAGACAAAGTGATTTGAGGGAAAGTAAAAAAAAAAGAGGGGAGGGAATCTTCTGCAGGTTCCAAGTTCCAAGTTTAACAAAAAAAGTGTCAGAAATGATCTAGAATGGTGTTGATAGCAAATTCGGGAATTGGCATTAGCAGAGAATTTATTCATTGCACACTAACTGAAGCACATCGACTGAAACATGTCTCCATACAAGTAAAATCCTATTAATTCAAATTTATCTGTCCACCAAAACTATACATTTTAAGGCATCCATGCATAAAAACATATGATAACATTAAGAATATGTTTAAAATTTCCCTTTTCATTCATATTTCAATCCGTTTTCACAACAATGGGTGTGAGTTTAGGACGATGCACGCTCCCGCAACAGGGGAGGTAATTCTCGGGCACAACAGAGGAAACCCGGAGGACAGAATCGAAGCAGGGGTGGATTTTGAAAATTTGGGGCCCAAGGCAAAGACAGGCATGGGGCCCTCCTAATTGAGAAGACAACTCATAATACAGAGCCATTATAGAGATACAGACATTTTTATAGAATAGACAAACATTATTTAGAAAATTTTGACTGCCCTTAACGTTTTATATTTTTATATTATGTCTAGGGAAAAATAGCAATTCAAGATACACTATATTGCCAAAAGTATTTGCTCACCCATCCAAATTATTGGAATCAGGTGTTCCAATCACTTCCATGGCCACAGGTGTATAAATTCAAGCACCTAGGCATGCAGACTGTTTTTACAAACATTTGTGAAAGAATGGGTCGCTCTCAGGAGCTCAGTGAATTCCAGCGTGGAACTGTGATAGGATGCCACCTGTGCAACAAATCCAGTCGTGAAATTTCCTCGCTCCTAAATATTCCACAGTCAACTGTCAGCTGTATTATAAGAAAATGGAAGTGTTTGGGAACGACAGCAACTCAGCCACGAAGTGGTAGGCCACGTAAACTGACGGAGCGGGGTCAGCGGATGCTGACGCGCATAGTGCGAAGAGGTCGCCAACTTTCTGCAGAGTCAATCACTACAGACCTCCAAACTTCATGTGGCCTTCAGATTAGCTCAAGAACAGTGCGCAGAGAGCTTCATGGAATGGGTTTCCATGGTCGAGCAGCTGCATCCAAGCCATACATCACCAAGTGCAATGCAAAGCGTCGGATGCGGTGGTGTAAAGCACGCCGCCACTGGACTCTAGAGCAGTGGAGACGCGTTCTCTGGAGTGACGAATCGCGCTTCTCCATCTGGCAATCTGATGGACGGGTCTGGGTTTGGCGGTTGCCAGGAGAACGGTACTTGTCTGACTGCATTGTGCCAAGTGTAAAGTTTGGTGGAGGGGGGATTATGGTGTGGGGTTGTTTTTCAGGAGCTGGGCTTGGCCCCTTAGTTCCAGTGAAAGGAACTCTGAATGCTTCAGCATACCAAGACATTTTGGACAATTCCATGCTCCCAACTTTGTGGGAACAGTTTGGAGCTGGCCCCTTCCTCTTCCAACATGACTGTGCACCAGTGCACAAAGCAAGGTCCATAAAGACATGGATGACAGAGTCTGGTGTGGATGAACTTGACTGGCCTGCACAGAGTCCTGACCTCAACCCGATAGAACACCTTTGGGATGAATTAGAGCGGAGACTGAGAGCCAGGCCTTCTCGTCCAACATCAGTGTGCGACCTCACAAATGCGCTTCTGGAAGAATGGTCAAAAATTCCCATAAACACACTCCTAAACCTTGTGGACAGCCTTCCCAGAAGAGTTGAAGCTGTTCTAGCTGCAAAGGGTGGACCGACGTCATATTGAACCCTATGGATTAGGAACGGGATGTCACTTAAGCTCATATGTGAGTCAAGGCAGGTGAGCAAATACTTTTGGCAATATAGTGTATCTATAATCATATTTTGGAAAGTAAAATGCATTTTCAGATATCTCAAATTATGTAATCTGATTTGTCATTTAAAGTGTCACACATCCAGAATCATAATCAAGATATTTCAGTTAATTTGGACCAGTCAAAACTAAATTTGTTTAATATCTCAATTATGAAATATCCCCCTAGTGTGTAACTGAGCTGTCCTAACAGTTGCCTGCAGAATTTTATTGGCTGCAATGTTGCTGGCTCTTCTTGACAAAGTTGTTTCAAAATGCTTCAATATAGAAAGAACTCAACAGTATGGGATGTGCAGAGGACAACAACTTTGTCAACTTTAAGACCTATTTCAATTTAATTATATATTTTCTTAATATATTTAAACACTTTTTTTGTCAAAATGTAGAATTTTTCTTCAATAGCTTCTCTTCTCTGCTCCTCTCATCCCTTCACCAGTGTTGCTAACTCCCCAGCAAGAAAGGCTGCTATTGGCTGTCCTAAAAGGTGCTATAAGGTGCTAGCTAATGCCTGTCTTCCAATCAATGGTAAATAATTTAGTTCGACGGAACTGTTAGAATAGTTTTAACTTGTTCATTGCCAGCATGTAGTCTAGCTTACTTTAAATTAGCCAATGGACGCAATACTGATGTTCTGAGAAACAGTCTATTTTATAAAGTAAATACCCTAAATGAATATTTGAAATGTGATGAAAATTTTTAGATTTTATATAGGCTTATTTGATTTTCAGGCTAATTCTAATGTATTTGTTAGCAGTTTTTTTTTCAGATTTTGAAAATTATTTCAGCTGTTTCACTTTAATTAATTGAATTTGAAAAAAAAAATACTTGACTTGAAAGGATTCAGATATTTATTTGCAATTTTTATGAGGTTTTGTTCCAAATTTGAATAGGTTCATTGCCAAAAGATTCTCCAAAGTAAAATCAAATATGTGTCCTACCATGACTATGAAGCTGATCCCAGTGGAAAATTAGTCAGACATAGAAGATCCTAGTGGCCTGTACACTGTACCAAATTTAACATTTATTCAGACAAAAGAATCAGAATGTAAGATATCGGTAACCTTAGAGCACATCGAAATGAATGACAGAGTGCAGGCCTCTGACCATACCCTGCAACTATCTCTGACTTATTTTGTCAGGAATGATTGCCAGTGCCAGTTTTGTAGATGTGCAAAATTGTCAGGAAGTTATCTCTAATGTGCTTCCAAGACCCTACAAACAGTGCTTTGGCTGATTTAAACATCATAGTGCAATCGCACCTCATTTTAATGATGCATTATGTAAATTACGTTACGTACACTAAAACAACATGGATAAATATTAGATTTTTCTGATCAAAATCTACAAGAATAAACTAGAATAAAGCCTTAGTATATTGAATACTCTAGTGCACGGGTGTCAAACTCGAGTCCTTGAAAGCTAATGTCCTGCAACTTTTAAATATTTCACTTGGTCAAAACATCTGAATCAAATGATTGAATTGCCTCCGTACTATGGAGCCAAGTTTTGCAGACTTCTGCTAATGACCTGATTACTCGATTCAGAAGGTTAAAAGCAGAGACATATCTAAAAAGTGCAGGGCAGCAGCCCTCGAGGACTGGAGTTAGACACTTCTACTCTAGAGAGACTGAGTGCATAAACAAATTGAAGGTATAAAAGCACTAAGAGCTTGTCAAACCTTCTTTACCTGTGAGACTACTTCAGAAAGCAGAATAACATTTTTTTGCAGTGTTGTGTACCCTGACATAAAATACCTTAAAAACATTGCAATGGAATTATTAAGCGCTAACTTTGGAAAAAACATCACCTTTGTTCGTCCTGCATATTTCATAATAAGTGGATTTATTGGCTTACCTAACATGAAGTACTACTATGTCCTTCTTTTTTTTGCCTTCATCATTTCCATTTTTGGAAACACTGCTGTAATGTCTTTGATATATCTGGATCCAAATCTTAAAACTCCTAAATTTGTTGCAGTTTTTAACCTTGCATTTGTGGACCTGTTAGGTAGCACTGCTCTGGTACCAAAAGTGATTGATATATTTCTATTTAATAACTATTCTATCACATATCGTGACTGCTTGACATTCTTTTTTTTCTGCTACTCTTTCCTTTCAATGCAGTCTCTTAATTTGGTTGCTCTATCCTATGACCGACTGATGGCCATCATGTTTCCTCTTCGCTATCATGTAAAGGTTACACATAAGAATATGTTGTCCCTGATATTGTTTTTCTGGTTATTTGTTTTTATTTCTAACTTAGTGGCAGTTGGTTTTCTCACAAGACTTTCGTTTTGTAAATCTGTAGTTATCAACAGCTATTTCTGTGACTACGGTCAGATTTTCCGACTTGCTTGTAATAATTACTTCCCCAATTTTGTCATAGGTCACATGATACCATGTTTTGTTCTTTGGCTTCCTCTTGGGATAATCTTGTTTAGTTACATCTCCATTGGACATGCCTTAGCTAAAGTAGCTACATTTGAAGAAAGAGTTAAAGCCTTTAAAACCTGCACTGCTCACCTTTCTTTAGTGGCAATCTATTATTTTCCTATATTAATCACATTTGCTATGTATGGAAGAATGCATCAAAATGCAAGAATTGTAAACCTGTCTATACCTGCTGTGGTTCCACCCATGTTGAATCCAATCATTTATGTTTTACAAACCCAGGAAATTAAGTTATCAATAAAAAAACTTATAAAAATCAAGAGGAAGCCAAAAGTTACAGTAAAGTAAGAAATTTCAAGAAAAGTTAAAGAAGTAAGTTGTTTTGCTTTTATTTTGTTAGGAATGATTGCCAGGTTAATAAGTATCCTTTTGTTTCCCCTTTTGCTAATGTTTCTGCATTATATGTGTAATGCTAAAGTGTTGATTACATAAGTGAAGGTGAGTTAGGATTGAACGTGAATATTTAAATGTTTAGTTCTATTCAAACTTTTCTAAAAACCAAATTGGAAAAAAGATCTTTTGATATACTGAAGCTTTTGATAAAAAAAGGTTAGTTCAAATGTCATTTACTGCATTTTCCCATTGTTTGAATTGTTACATTTCGAAAAGATTCAAACAATTCACAAAGCCTTTTTAATGAATAACTGCCTTTGTCAGCTATAATTTCCTTTCTGTCCCCTAATATTTTACAACTTTACACGAACCAGAGTTAATTTCTCCCCTTAAGCTAGACCTAACATGTGTCTTGTAAATACTCTAATTTAACAATAGTTGAAACTTACAATGAAGCACTCATTATTCATGTTTAAGCTCTACAGCATGCCAAACATGCAAAAAAGTAATGGAAATACAGGAGTGCCATTAAGTTTTCTTTCCGAGTGCCAACTGATCAAAGCTGGCAGTCATAGAATATTACAAGTACCTAGTTCAAAATCCATTCAGTCTCTGAGCAAGAGGATTACCCCTTGCTCACACTGGCCCCGGTGCGGTTACCGAGCCGACGGAGACCGCAACTCCCGCACACCCCCTCTCACACCGCCCTTTTGACTACGGTGCGGTGCGGCTCTGCGGCTCCGGCAACAGGTCCGGAGATTTAACAGAAGTTCACTTGAGTTCACGTAACTTCACGCGATGACACAACCCAAATAAAGGATTTTTGCGAGAGCTTGTTGCGGAGGGCTCCGGCACGCCGCAAGGATAGCTTTCTTGCTGAATTTTCTGCAGCGCCGGAGTGTCTCGGTAACCGCAGCCGGACAGCTCAGCAGCCAGTGAGAGAGGTTTACGTCTTTTTAAGGACTTGGAATCACTGCGGCGCCGCACCCACCGCACCGCAACGGTAAGACCGGAGTCGGTGTGAGCCTGGGGTAAGTCCTACATTGCTCTGTAAGAAGAAAATTTATTTTGAATATACACTGACAATAGAAAGTTATTGTTATGTGGCTGCAAGGTGGCGCAATGTGTAGAACTGCTTCATTGCAACAAAAAGGTCCTTGGTTTGATCTACGGTCTAGAATCTTTCTGCATTGTGTTTGTGTGTTCTCCCTGTGCATGCATGGGTTCTTCCTGAATATTCCGGCTTTCTTCCACAGGCCAAAAAAATAACTATAAGGTTTTTTGCCAACTCTAAAGTTGCTGTTAGATGTGTGTCTGTTTAGTTGTGTATTCCAAACAAGTTAAAAGAAAGATAAAAAAAAAAAAAAAAGTTGAGTATCTTTGGTGACCTGGCGAGAGTAGTGATGGGAATTGCAAAGCCTCATGAACCCTTGAACCACTTGAACACAACTGGCCAAAACTCACCACACTGATTTACGCATTTCATACAGTTTTGAGGATGGAAATCTGCTGGATGATTAATGTTTGCATTTATTGCTAGAGTGGTGTGTTCAATAACAATAAAAGTAGTAAATACATCTCTGACTCACATCATGCTTAATACGAAATAATTGCTCTTAAAATGCATGAAATAACATTTACTAAAAGCTGTTCATAAAGCAGAACTTTATAACTCAGTTGGGCAGCAACTTTAACTGTGACAGTGCCTATTTTACTGTAAAATGGGAAGGAAAAATAAAAGCTGATTTTACCGGACCTGATGTGAACACAGTTGAACTGTGGGCCTGAGCATGAAGAAATAAATTATGGTGTTACTGCTACTCAACGCAATCCAGGTGGCGTGCACCAGTGCACTACTGACTGTGCACTACTGACTGTGCATGCAGGTAACTATCTGACCACAGTGCAGAGAGCACTGACCCAAAGCAGGTCCGTCCTGCCAAGATGGGGGTTTCATGCAGGTCATGCACAGGGTATAGCGGAGCAGAGCAACCGGATGTGCTATCTGTCATGCTCTTGCAGCTGCATTAGGGGCTTCCTCAACCTCATTCAGCACATCCAAATCAAACAAGTGTGATGCGAATGAATTAATCTGAATGCTGGGTGGGGCTGCTTTCATGTGCGCACTGCACGCTGTCTCCTGTCCAATTACCTGCTGCATTTGATTTTCCTTCTTTTACTAAAGAGTATACAAGAAATATAGTCCTAGATTAAGCTTATTTCCTGTGATAAAAAGGTCTTAAAGCCTGTCAAGTTGGGCCATTTTGTCATGTCTGGTCTGCCATGTTCTGTCATAACAGGTTGTCCTAATTGTTCCACTTTCCAGTCCTGCCCTTTTCTCTGCTTCCTCTCTAAAACCTCACTTCCAGGACATGTTCTCACAGGTCCAGATATGTCTTGTGGTATGTCTTATTGCTAATATCTGCATTTTCTTACATATTAAAACCATAACTAAAGCTGTTGCCTAAGCATTATTCATGCAGCCTAATGCATGTCATGAAAGACAAAATGGATTGCTGTAAAGTCACATCTTAGCATAACTTTTATCTGTTTTTCTATCTGCTTCTGTAAATGCCTGCCTGTAGCATATATTTATTCCATGTAACATACTCCTCAGTAAAGCATCTCTACTTTACTCTAAAGTTGTTATGTTTCTTGCAACAGTGCTGGTTTGATCTGAGTCAGAAAGCTCACAGAGCTGAGAATAAAGGTTAGTTCTCAGAGGGTTACCATCAGATAAGCGCTAATGGATGCGGGATATTTACAGTAAATAACTGCCTTTGTCCCTCCTTCGTAGTGTAAACAGATGATCCACCAGCAGCAGCCCATCTCTTTATGTGTAGCCCGAAGCAAAACCACACCAAAAATACATGTTTTGTCATTACAAATATACATGAAAGAAAAATAAGTTTGTCAGGGCCAGCTTAAAATAATCTAGTAATAAAGTTATAGTGAAACCTAATAGGACTATATTTTCATAATTCAAAACCTATTTTCTTTTCATGTGTACATAGATACAGCCCCGGTTTTTGTTTTACATAAGCTGTTATTCTTTTGATAGGGTAGGTTAAAGTGAATGTATAGTTAACTTTTTTGCATTGATAATGTTCCTTTGCTAAAATGTTACAATAAAAATCACATTTAAGATTTAAATAATACTCTCAAGTGCATGTTTATAGCAGTTTTAAAGCTTGCATAAATCTTTTTTGGGGGAGTCAGAATATCAATGTCTGTTTCAGCTTTTATAAAAGCAAAAAAGATAGTACACTTGTCAGAATGTATAATTTGCTGACTGTTTGCTTATACGCATACCCATAAAAAAAATAAAAAAAAACATCACACTACTGTGTATCCTCCATTTTTATGTATAAGAAGTCATGATGCCATAAAAATTACTATATCATTGCTTTACTATGCATTTGTAGTTGCATCAAAGCAATGGGATAGCTGCCACTAGGTGGCATTGAATAGGGTGAAAATAGCCCAGAAAAAGTGACTGATATGATTATACCTTCAGCCAGACATGGGCAATGTGGAGTCAACAAGTCATCTCCATGTCATGTATTTAATCTACCCAACCAATTAACCAGGGGAGTCCAATCTGCACAGGTTAATTCACGGTGAAGATTGGACTCACCTGCTTCAGTGGCTGGGTAGAACAAATACATGACATGGAGATGACTTGTTGACTCCACATTGCCCATGTCTGCCTTCAGCAAATACTTTTTACAAAATCTAATTTTAACCACTGTATTCTGAAGAGTTAAAAGTATAACACAAAGCAGATTTACACTGAATATGCTTCTGTAAAAAAAATATTGATCAAAGTTTGCATTTTAAGAAGGGAATAAAATTCGAATTAAGAGGTTTACAATGAATGCAATCCTGAGAAACTGGCGTCCGTTTTCCAGGAGTTATTCTTTCTTTATATGTTCACAATTGTGAAATAGACAGAGGTTCAACTGAAGAAGCTTTTCATACGTCCACCTGTGACACAGCCAATCAGCTTTGAACCACACCTCCACGAAAGCCAATCAGCATCCAAAGTTAATCTTAAAAGGCTTCTGATATGCGCCTGTCTGCTCCTGTGCGCAGGTGGTGGATGCGCTGTGACTTCATTCAGATGACCATGTTTCAACCCACCTCCAGCCCCTCCTCCACCATCATAGCTAAAACTTCATCAGAGTGTTATTCCTCCCGGACTCTTACTGTGTTCCCTGTTCTCATCTTAACCGGTCCGGCAGAAGACCGCCATGTTGAGCCTGGTTCTGCCAGAGGTTTCTTCCCAACAGGGAGTTTTTCCTCTCCACTGTTGCTTCATGCTTGCTCATCATGGACAGGTTCATTAACCTGTGTTATCCAAACTAGACTTCCATCTTCCAGATACCTGAGTGAAGCTCTAATATCAGCTCACACAAATCACTGGATCTCCCCATAAAGCTCAGCATACCATCTCACTAACCAGCAGTCTACAGACCAGCTTCATCTATCTCCACTCCACCACCAGTTTTAGGCCTGGGAGGGAAAAAGCCCTATTCTTTACTCCTGTTCATGCATATCCATCAAATTAAGTGCTATGTTTCTTGCTGAGGTCTGAGCACCAAAGACAAAGTAATTGTATCTATAAATTTCTCCTAGTTGTCTTTTCTCTTTGTGTGAGTTTTTCAGATCTTGCTGTTATGCTGATGATTCCACGATTTGTTTATGCAATGAGGCAAATCATTCCAGACATTTCTAAGAAAAAAAAAGAAGCTTACTGTTACCCCTGACTATAACTTCCAGACACTCATAGTATATTCTTCTGTATGTACATAACTCTTAGATAGTCTGAAACAGGTGTACTAACCTTTACTGTTTTTTTAATTCTTTATAAACATATATTGCTGAAACGGGAAAAAAAACACTTTAAATTGTTACAACCAAACTCATTAAACTCCCTTGCAAATTAGGTTTATTTGTAAAATTCTATATTTTCACAATTAACAAAATGTCAACTAAAAGCTCATTAAAATATATGTTACAAAGCTGAATACTAAAAAATACCAAAAAATATTTTTCTAGCTCCCTAAATAACTTTAGGTAGCATAAACACTTGTGATATCACCCAACATCACATAGGAAAAGACCAATTAAATACCTGGATGGAAAATGGGGTTTTGTATGTTAGAAATTTTGCTGAGTCAAGAAAGATCTCTAAAATGTTTGGTGAAGAGGTTGTTGCTTCGTACAAGTAAGGAAAATATATAAAAAGATTGCAAAGACTGTGGATGTCCTCAGAGATATCATTGTCATCATATTTGCAGATTTAAAGTCACCGCAATTGCAGATACATCACATAGATGTGGTCAAAGAAGTACATTGCATGAAATTTTAAGAAGACAGGTGGTCAATATCATTTGACTAACTGCAAAAGAATTACAGCAAGAATGAAATTTGTATAGTCTTAAACATTAAGGTATATTTTGATCTTTTGTGGTAATGAAGGCATTTTACCAGTGTTTCAGTCTGCTAAGGTGGAAAGGTATCTGTGTTTGACTGCCTGTGTGTACAAAAAGTAAAAAAACAGTGTTCTTTAGACCTCTATGGGACTGTAAGGAAACTGTGAACTGTGG